ATATATATATATATATATATATATATATATATATATATATATATATATATATATACATAGGTGTGTATGTGTGCCTGTATATTTTTAGAATGTCTGGTATATGCAAGCATGTTGGTGCATTATTATGGTACATTGAAAAGGAAGTAAGTTTAGGTAACAACCATTCCTGTACTTCCAAAAAACAACAGTGGAGTGTTCCATTTAAGAAACAAATTAGACTGCATGCTCCTGAAACATTAGTTAAAATAGAGTTAAAAAAAATCAAAAAAAGAAGAATACACAGATAATTTACCCAAGAATAGATTTATTCATAGTATAGATAATAAACCTCTTAATGAAAACGATATAGATTTACTTGCTGAAATTACTAACGATAAATGTGGCTTAATTACACTAATGCGCAAAGAAAGTACGTTTTTTAATATCAGTATGGTACACAAAGAAGTTGAAATCTCGACATCTGTGTTAATCGATTTTCCAAAAACAATTGCAGAAGTGATAAAAAAAGTTCATGCTCTTTTGAGATATTAATGAGTAACTTAAAAATAACAAAAGAACAACAGTCTTTACTTATTGCAAAACAATCAGTCAAAGTTCAGTGACAATTCTTTTCAACATAGAAAATATAGAATTACAGCGTCAAATTTTAAATCTGCAGTTAATAAAATTAATGAAGGTAATGTTATTATTAATCTTGAAAAGTCAAAATCAATAATAAGCAAAATTTGTGGATATAGCAAAAAAATTAATTCAAAGGCTACAAGTTGGGGTATTAGAAATGAGCCAATTGTTAGAAAAAAATACTTGAGTATTAACAGTCACCTTCATAAGACATTTACAATTAAAAGGGCTGAATTTTTTACAAGCTTGTTGTGGCCTTTTTTAGGAGCAAGTCCCGATGGTTTAGTTTTATGTAAACGCCATGAACCTGGATTGCTGGAACTGAAGTGTCCATGGACACATAGAGGACTTAGTATAAAGGAATTTGTCTTGCAAAAAAGTGTTTTTTTAGAAATTTATCAGGATAAGTTTCGCTTAAAAAGAAACCATGCTTATTATTATCGAGTGCAACTGCAAATGTATATAACAAAGTTCAAGTGGAATATATAGCATATAGCATTATAAATACTATACAAATAAATGAAAGAATTGACTTTATAAATGAATTTGATTAATTTTATTTAACTCTTGTGTTAATAATTTATTATTTTGGTATTTAATTGTTTTTATCTAAAAATCTCTTTTAAAAATCCACCCATCTTGCAATCACATTAAATAAATGTGTTTTTCGCATAAGATAAATCTGATTTAATGAAATGAAACATACGCTGTTTTTGTAGCTGAATTTTTAATCACCTTGGCAAACCTAGAATCCTTTGCGCGCATAGCATCTTTAGAGTTATCAAATATCGTCTATTCAAGGCATGAACAGAAAATGTGTCCAAAACCTTTTTTAATCTATTTTGAAAATGTATTAATATTATTGTAATTTATACATGTTATTTAAGAAATAAATTATAAAATTACATTATTATAATGAAGAAATTTGCTGAAACAGACTTGGTTGGGAAGCGGGAGCAATCACTCTCGATTGCTGACCACGTAAATAATATTTAGTTGCGAAAAGCTGGTCAGATTTTTTAGTCGTTTTGAGAACATTTTAACAAGCAAAAAAAAAAGCGCTTAAGATTAATTGGACCGATGAGAGACAATTACAAAAAAAATTTTATAAAATTAAGCCATATTTTTAACATCTTACAATTGTTTAAAAAGGAAACAAATATTCTTTATTAAACAAAGTTTGTAAGTTTTAGTTTTATTTAAGCTAAATTATTTTATAAATAAAAAAGCTAATTTTTATTAATACCTATTTTACGTTTCGCGTAGTTTGAAAAGTTTAACATATTTGAAGCAATTCTTCTTAGTAAGATAAACAAATGAAATAACTAAATCATTGAATTACTATTGTCATTAAATTAACAAGATAGAAATCAACTAAAAAGGTTAAAAATATGACGAGGAAGCGAAACTGCTTCACAATATTGCTGATGATGTTTAGTGAGTGGGCTTTTTAATTAGTTAGTAATTTAATTAGTAATTAAAGCAGAAAAAAGTGTAACGAGTTTTTAAGAATGGCAAATGAAGCGAAAATAATTAGAGTTAGTAAACCAATATCTAGTAACTTTTCTTTATATCTAATTATTTGCTATATATATATTTGTTTTCTGTCGTGACCTCAGGCGCGGTGCTTGTTCATCCGCGAGTTACTTTGTATGCGTTGTTTGTGTTTAGGAACCAGAAACTTCTTATATGCATTACATGATTAGTTTTATTAACTTTAACAATTATAACTTTATTGAAAACGCAATTATTTTTGTAAGTCTTTATTTAAATCATAAAAATTGCTTTAAAAGATACATTACGATAAAAAACAGATCAACAAAATTACATTTACATATAGAATACATACTTTTTAAATAAAAAATAAGAATGTACAAATAAAATCTATAATTTATAATAAACTTTTAAAATTTTGACAATTTAATTAATATATATTTAAAACATTTGTTTTTGTAAACAATCGCTTATAATTAATACTTAACTTAACGCTGCTGCTCACCATTCGTGCACCTTTACACGGATTTTTTTACCATACTTGGCCTTTGAGTTTTATCATAAATTGCTTTACTTCTGAACTCGCCTAATGGGGCTCTTTCAAATCTTAATAATCTGTTAGTATCTGCTTAATCAGTAATGAGATCAAAAACTTTGTTTCATCAGCTTAATTAGTGATAAGATCAACAATTTTTATTTGATAACTTCTGTAGTAAAGGATGAACATTATGTTATTATTGAATTAGTAAAGTAACTTTTAAAGTCAGGTGATTTATTTAAATCATGCATTTTAGTCTTTTGTCAATTGTATTTAAATTTATTAATTTATAAAATTAATCTCTAATTTTTAAATTAAAAGACGACTCAAGAAGACGTTGCTCATTTCAAAGGTCAGAGAGGTCAAACTCTTGATAAAGTTAGTGTTTAAAACACTTGCATCTCACACGGTCAACTCAATGTTACATGTTAAAGAACAAGATCGTTTAATACCTTATTTAAAAGAAGTTATAAAAATCCGTATAAAAAACCAGATTGTTTGATAGTTTGTTTTTGAAAGTTGTTAAACATTTATTACGAGGTATTTCAAAAAACAAAAATAAGGTTGTATTTGTAAAGTTTCAAATTTATATATTTTTCTTAATTTATATATTTATCTATATATGTGTGTTATTTATATTGTGTTTTATTGTGTATATATGTGTTAAGGTTATATGGGTTTATATTTTGTAAGTGTGTAAATATATGAAATGTTTCAATGTTTGTGGTGTGTTATATGTAATATGTTTATAGTTTGTAAGTGATAATTATGTTGTTTGCATGGTTTCAAATTGTTGTGACTGGGCTTAGTTTACAGCAAGATTGTTGACCTCGCTAGCCAAGTGGTGTACTTTGCTATAATGTGACCTGGCTTTGTTGAGAGCAAAAATATTGTCCTCGCCAGCAGAGTGGTGTATCGTCATAATAAAACACATAAATTAATTCTGTTTGTAATTAGTGTATTTCTAAAATGTGTTGAAAAAATATTGTTTAAAAAATGTGTTTTAATGTTGTTATCCTCTGTTCTTAACAATGTATGCTTTTGACAATAAATAAATTTTGTTAAAAAGCAGGCTTTACTAACAGCTCCTCCTCATTAAAATTTTTAAGAGTTTCGATTTTCTTCATTAAATATGTTTAACTCAAATTTTTTTAATATATATAAAAGTAAGTATACAGCGTGTTGAAGCATAAGTTTTAATAACTTTTGTTAAATTTTTAGGATTTTTTGTATAGAGAATGTTTTCTTTATATTATTATTTTAATGTTTTGTATGTACATCAATATATATATATATATATATATATATATATATATATATATATATATATATATATATATATATATATATATATATATATATATATATGATATATATATATATATATATATATATATATATATATATATATATATATATATATATATATATATATATATATATATATATATATATATATATATATATATATAGACACACACACACACAATAAAATATATAGAATTAAAATGTCTATACATATATTATATGTATAGACATTTTAATTTTTTTGCCTTAAATTATTGTCCCTTTTTCTTTAGAATATTAAATATCTAAAAAAAAAATAAAATAGTAAAAGAAGTTTCAATATTTCCAAGTTTCTTTACTTGAAGCAAATATATGATTGTTTATAGAGGTTCTTTTAGTAGTTTTGTATTTATTTATTGCAAATCTTGCGTTAAATGCCTTTCAAAGTAATGAAAGGGTTTTGTTGATGGATGATTACATTTTATCCTTCCATGCTAGCAGTACCTGCTGAGTTGACAGGCCTTAAATTTTTTTAATTTGCTTTATTTATGAGTTCTTATATGTAAAAAATTTGTTTTTTAAATTACATTTGTTTTTTTTGTTTTTTTTGATTAAATACTTATAATATTTTGTCAATAATTGATAACAACTACCATAAATATATAAACAATACTTAGTTGAAAATATTACATTAATTTATAACTTTAGTTTAAGTTTTTAATAAAACTATGTTATCTTAACACAATGCTATATATGGTAGAATATAATAGATTATAGTATTATGCTCTGTATTATTTGCTTACACTTTATTTTAGATTTAAAAAAGAAACTTCAACTTTTATTATATTAGGCATCATTTTTACACACTCCTTTGATGCCTAATTATGTCTAATAATTTAAGAAATGAAATTATTAGACTTCGTCAAAATGAAAGAAGGCAGGCTAGGCGAGCTGAGATAAACCGCCGTCGAAATGAAAGAGATGAGCCCAGGCGAGCTGAGATAAATCGTCGTCGAATGGAAAGAGATGAGCCCCGGCGAGCTGAGATAAATCATCGTCGAATTGAAAGAGATGAGCCCCGGCGAGCTGAAATAAATTGTAATCAAAATGAAAGAAATCAGGCTAGGCGAGAACTTAATAGGTATAATATGCATCGCATAGCAAGAAATAATATTGCTATAGAGAGTAACTACCTCGGAGAATTAAACCATAATTGTCAGTATTGCAGTGCAAAGAAGTTTTTAAATGAAACTCATTTTTTGTGCTGCCATTCAGGAAAAGTTGCATTAGCTCCTCTTTCTCTTTATCCGCCATTGTTGACTGGTTTAATGACAGGAAACCATGTTGATCATGCTGTAAATCAAAATTTTTTTCAACACATAAGGAGTTATAATTCCTCTTTATCTTTTGCTTCCTTCACTGCCGAAATAGCTCCTCCCTCAAATAATGGCCCTTTATGTTTTAGGGTCTGTGGGCAAATTTTGCATTGTGTTGGAAATTTAAGGCCTGCAGAAGGTTGTCTGCCCAAATATTGTCAGCTGTATATCTATGATCCTAATGCAGCAGTGTCATTCAGAATGGAACAACCTGGTAATGATGGTTGTATACATGAGTTAATGCAACTCTTGCAAACATTAATTAATCAAGAAAACCCATTTGCATTTGAAAAACATGGCAGAAGTAGAGGATGAAGAAATCCGCCAAGCAGCTTTAGAAGGTAGACCAACCTCTGTTGTAAGAATGTCTTTGCTTGAAGGTCATGATAGACGTCGATACAATCTTCCTTCCCATGAGGAAGTTGCTATTGTGTTTGTGGGAGATGATGGTGCTCCACCTGCATCCAGGGAAATTGTTATATACCCTCGAGGTCAGCCTTTAAGAACAATTTCGTCTATGTCTGCAAATTTGGATCCTTTGGTATATCCAATATTCTTCCCGAGAGGTGATGCTGGATGGCACAATCAACTAGAGCACAACCCTGACCGTGCAACCCGTGTTAGAAACCATGTTACTTTGTCTCAGTATTATAATTATAGGCTTGCTGTTAGACAAACTTTTAGTCCTATATTCTATGGTAAGAAACTTTTTCAGCAATATGTTGTTGATGCATATGTCAAAGTTGAGGGACAGCGCCTTGCTTTTATTAGAAATAACCAAAACAAACTTAGAAGTGAGCAATATGATGCATTGCATGAACATGTAATTAATCGTGCTAATGATCTTAATGTAAGACCAGGCTGTGTTGTTATATTGCCTTCTTCATATGTTGGTAGTCCAAGAGCATTAAAAGAAAACTTTGAAGATGCGATGGCAGTCATAAAGAAATATGGTAAACCAGATCTATTCATTACTTTTACCTGCAATCCAAAATGGAGAGAAATAGTAGAAAATTTAAACCCAGGCCAAACTGCTAATGACAGACCTGATTTAGTTTGTCGGGTATTTAAAATGAAACTTAAATTTTTCTTAGAGGATATTTTTAAGCATGGAGTCTTAGGCAAAGTTGTAAGTCATGTGCAGGTTATTGAGTTTCAAAAGCGTGGTTTGCCACATGTACATATTTTATTGCACTTTGTAAATGCTGATAAGCTAGAAACAGCAGAAGATATTGATAGTTTGATATCAGCAGAAATCCCAGACCCAGCTGTTGATCCTGAACTTTTTGAAATTATAAAATCATGCATGATACATGGACCATGTGGAATTTTAAATCCCAATTCTCCCTGCATGAAAGATGGTAAATGCACAAAAAAATTTCCTAAGGAATTTAATCCCCACACTGTTGCAATTTTTAATGGTTATCCACGCTATAGGCGCGTCGATAATGGAAGAATTGTAAATATAAAAGGTAATCAAGTTGACAACCGTTGGGTTGTACCTTATAACCCATGGCTTTCTAAAAAATATCAAGCACACATAAATGTTGAAGCCTGCATGACCATAAAGTCAGTTAAGTATTTATATAAGTACATTTACAAAGGGCATGACTGTGCCAATGTGGTGATAAATGAGCAAGTTAACCATGATGAAATAAACACGTTTTTAAATTGTCGCTATGTCTCAGCTCCAGAATCATTGTGGCGAATATTTGAGTATTCTTTAAGTGATATGTCACATAACATCATTCGACTTCAGGTTCATCTGCCAGATAATCAGATGATATATTTTGTAGAAGGCGAAGAACAGGCAGCTTTAGACCGTGCAGCACAGCGTGACACTCACCTAACTGCATGGTTTAAATTAAATGTTGAAAATGAACAAGCCCTTCACTATCCATATGTTGAAATTCCTTACCACTTTGTTTTTGATAGCAAACATTGTAAATGGAAAGTTAGGCAAAGAGGTAGCAATAAGGTGATTGTTAGGATGTATAAAGTGAGTCCAATAGGTGAAATATTTTATCTTAGAATGTTACTTTTGCATGTTAGAGGTGCAGTTTCTTTTGAAGATTTGCGTACTGTTAATGGTACAGTTTTTAATACATTCCGAGAAGCATGTTCTCAATTAGGTCTGTTACAAGACGACGCTGAATGGAGAAATACATTAACTGAGGCTGCTGCAACTCGGTTGCCAAATCAAATTAGACAGTTGTTTTCCATTATTTTGACTTTCTGTGAACCTGATGATCCATTAAATCTTTGGAATGCCTTTAAAGATTTTATGATGGAGGATTACATTCACCATTCCATGCCACCAATAATTGCTGAGCAGGCAGCTTTGCGTCAAATTGAATCTATAATTAATCAGAATGGTAAGACTTTAGCTGATGTTAATCTTCCTACTTTAGATGAGTTTTTAGATTATGTCCCACAAAATGAAGAGGAAGATGTTCAGGTTTTAATTGATGAAGCAAATAGGGTTAGACCATTGTTAAATGATAATCAGCGTCAAATTGCTGATGCTATCCTTTCTGCTCTTAGTGAGCAACCTAACAATGAAAACAAGCAGTCTAGATTGTTTTTTATGGATGGCCCTGCAGGTTGTGGTAAAACATTTACATACAATTATTTAATCGCTGAAACCAGCAGTAGACATATTATAACTGCAACAGCTGCATGGACAGGAATAGCTGCAACTCTTTTAAAAAAAGGATGTACACTTCATGGTTTGTTCAAACTTCCTGTGCCGATTTTGGAAAATAGCACATGCAATGTAACTCCAAATTCTATACACGGAAAATTCTTGAGGCAAGTTAGCCTTTATTTACTAGATGAGGCATCCATGATACCTAAACATGCTTTAAATGCCATTGATAAGTTACTTCAAGACGTTTGCAATAACAAGTTTCCTTTCGGTGGTAAAGTTATTCTTATGGGTGGGGATTTTAGGCAAATACTTCCGGTTGTAAAGAGAGGGCAACCAAGTCCCCTCTTCTGTTACAAGTAAGTTGTTCTATTCACTTATACTTGACTTAAATTGGATTAATTGGTTTTATTGCATTTTTAACTTTCTTTTATTTATCTCTAGCTGCTTCTTCTGTTATAAGTAAGTCACTTTTACTTAACTTATTACATTGATTGATTGTTTTTATTGCATTTTTAATTTTCTTTTATTTATCTCTAGCTGCTTCTTCTGTTATAAGTAAGTCACTTTTACTTAACTTATTACATTGATTGATTGTTTTTATTGCATTTTTAATTTTCTTTTATTTATCTCTAGCTGCTGCTTCTTCTGTTACAAGTAAGTTGTTCTATTCACTTATACTTGACTTAAATTGGATTAATTGGTTTTATTGCATTTTTAACTTTCTTTTATTTATCTCTAGCTGCTTCTTCTGTTATAAGTAAGTCACTTTTACTTAACTTATTACATTGATTGATTGTTTTTATTGCATTTTTAATTTTCTTTTATTTATCTCTAGCTGCTGCTTCTTCTGTTACAAGTAAGTTGTTCTATTCACTTATACTTGACTTAATTTATGGATTAATTGGTTTTATTGCATTTTTAATTTTCTTTTATTTATCTCTAGCTGCTGCTTCTTCTGTTACAAGTAAGTTGTTATATTCACCTTTACTTGACTTATTACATTGATTGATTGCTTTTATTGTACCTTTTGTTTTTTAATATAGCTACAAATGTGCTTTCCAGTTTAATTAGTTAATGTAATAAGTCAAGTATTAGTGAGTAAAATAAATAAGTTGTTGTGCTCACTTGTACTTAATTTATTACATTATTTGCTTTTATTGTTTTTTTACAGTAGATTTTTTGTAAGTATTACCTTGGTACATAGTTGTATTTATATATAATTTTTTTTTCAGGCTCGAAGTCATGGGAAGAATTCAGAAAGTATCGCTCCCAGCATCCAGGCCCTCTATCTATGAGGGCCTTCCATCGCTGGTGTTTGTATGGGGACGACCATCCCTCCTTTAGATGGAGGGATGGCACCCCATACAACACAGGGAATAGAGCGGATGCTGGGAGGAGAAGACAACGTGGCGCAAAAGTTGTCAATAGTTTTTTTACATATTAAAATGTAAAGAAATTGACAACTTTTGAGCCACTTCATTTTTTTTTTGTAATATATTTTTGTAAATTTATTTTTGTGTTGTTTTTTATTTTTCCCATGAATGTTAAATGTTATCAAAGTAAATCATTTAAATAAAGACACCTTTATCAACAATGCTCATTAACTAGAAATAAAAGTCACGGTCATACATTTGATAAAGTTAATGTTAATCTCAAAGGGATTTGGTTTTCACACAATCAAATTCTATCTAGCACCTTCCAGAACTAAGAATATAAGTGTGTGGTGTCAGTAGTTTAAAATATGTATAATAAACTCAGAATAACTCAATAACCCTCAACAAAACTATGAACTAATTTTTAAATTCAAGTTGAGCTTTTTTATTTATTAATACCTCCCCTCCCAATAACTCTAATTTTCCTTAAAAAACTATTTTTTTTGTCCTTTGGAGGTGGTTCTGCTATTTAATTAATTGTTGTGATGTTTTATGCAAATAGATTTAGCTCACATTCATGTTGGTCTGTCAGGGTTATGTAAAAATAAAAAAGTAAGTTTCTTATTCGCATTTTTGAGTTTTCAAAAGTATTGATTGCATGACATGTTAATTTGTAATTAATGTGTATGATTATGATTATGCGTTTAAATAACTTTGTTCCATTTTTAGTTCCGTTTCTTATAGCTGACTTGATTATGGCTTACCTAAAGCTTAATATTTATGAAACAATGATTCAATTTAAATTGTATTATAAGTAGCTCTGTTGAATAAATTTTTTTTTTGTAATTTGTACTAAAGGTTATATTTTTATTTTATATCAAGAAAAATATGTTTTTAAGTAAATATCTATATTTTTTTATTTTGGGATTTATTGGTTTAAATGGATATAAAAATCATTTTTGCTTTGTCTTTCATATTTCCTTTTATTATATATGAATAGGAACCATTTATGCTTTAATCACCATTAGCACTCGAAGTTTCCATTTGCATTAAGTATCGATTTTTGGCACACACAACAGGTTTAATAACTTAGGCAGTAAAAACAGCTTGAATGATTTGTTAAGAGTCTTTAAAGAAACGCTTTTACGAAAAGCATTAAATAGATAAAGCTAACTTATTTAAAATAATAAGTCTTTAACCCGTTTTTCTATATCCAAATTTACTTTTTAAATAAATGTTGATGAAAGGGTAAAATATCGTTATAGCCTACGTTAATTTTAAATTCTTTTTAAATTAAAGGAAAGAGTTTTGATACTTATTTAAATAGGGTTAATAAAATATTTTAAATTATATTATATATATTATATTTAAGAAATTATTAAACTAAATTAAATAAGATTTTTAGATGAAACAGTAAAAATAATTGTTTAAAATACGTGCGTGCAAATAATTCCTACAAATACTAAACGTAAAATAACGCTTACAAACACCAAAAGTATGTTTGCAGTGAATAAAGTTAAGTTCAAAGATAAATAGGAAGAAATGTTTAAAACTGTTTCAATGATAACATTTATTTTTAATTACTTTTGTTGTAAGTTGGGATGAAAAAAAAAAGTCACTGGAGTATGAACTCCCGGGGTAAGATGACTACAAATGTCTAAGTGTTGCGCGTCTACCAATTAGCCCATAAACGTATTTTCTATTTAAATTTAAGATTATTTATGACGCAAAAGAAGTGTAATTAAAAATTCAAAACCAAGTTTGCAACAACTGAGTTTAAATAAAATCTAATTAGATGTGTATATGTTATGAACGTTAACTAAGGCGTACTTTAACGGCGTCACGTGTTGAATGTTTTAGCATTTTTCTAAGTTCGTAGTCTTTTTTACGTTTTTTCTTATTAAAATTTTTATAATCGGCATAATATTAAAATCGTTTGAAGTTTTTAAAAGAACATTTTAACAGAAATGTTTTTGTCATATCAAAAAGTAAGTATAGTTTTTTATATGTACATTTTTAAACGGTTTTAAAAAAATATTGAGGTAAGGAATAAGTATAGAAAAGGTCGGTGTAGAATAGATTTACTAAGACCCTTAGTTTACGTCCGGATAGCTATAGATAAGTATAAAAATGGTCGGTTCGGTAAAGACCCGTATTTTACGGGTCACCCCAGCTAGTTTATATATATTCTTAAAACGATTTATGCTAGAAATATGAAAACGTAACAAATCGTAAATAATATAATTTCTTAAAACATTTCAACAAAATTTTATTTCGCTTAGTTAGCGTATTTTTTGAACCAATAGAATTAGTTTGTTCGTAAAATTGGTGGGTTTTTAGTGTTCGCAAATATTCTTTTTATTCTTTCGCACCAAGATGTTTTGAGAACATTTAAGTTTTTTATGTTTCCATGTATGTCTGTAAAACAAAAATTTTTTGTTTCGTAAACAAACTTAAATGTTCTCAAAACGACTAAAAAACCTGGCCAGTTTTTCGCAACTAAATATAATTTCCGTGGTCAGTATTTGAGAGCGATCGCTCCCGCTTCCCGACCAAGCCTGCTAAAATCGTTGTCAGTAGAACAACTTACATTGTTACTACATTCTTCATCTGTACCCGTAAGTGGAGCTACTTTTGTTTTTGCTAGATTTTTTATCTCGTTCATCTAAACACAACAGTTCATTGTCGGATGAACTTATGTCACTTTTTGCAGTTATTGTTGCTTCATTCATATTTTTACGATTTGCAGCAATGTTAAATTTTTTTTCAAGTTGAAATATTTTTATTCTGCGTTTTTGTAAATATTTCTTAATGGCATATTGTAATATCTCATTTTGTTTTTCTTCAGTCCATACATGGCTGTTTCCCAAAATAACCATACACTCTTCCAACATATTATGCTTTATGCTAAGTCATCTATTGGACAATATTGTCATTAGTGTACTGAAACATCTTTTGACTGCACTACTAGATGACAAATACAAACACAAATCAGCTATTAACAAGATATTTGGACAATCTGATTTATTAAGTGTATAATTTTGCCCAAATTTCAAAACATGATAACTTTGAATACATTCTTTGTACTATTATTATTAATGCATTCCAGTCTTTGTAAATATTAACTTCTTGGATGGTTGCTGCTACAAGTAATTTCCAAAATTGTTGCATAAGGTATTGTATACTTTGGTAACCATTATCCAGGTTGTTTGTCCAATCTTGAGAATCAAGCCAAGCCATGGAGGTGAAAACTTCATTTTTGTCCGGTAAAAAACAACATCTATCTGTCATTTTGTCCGACCCATATTTTGTGTGCATTTATTTTAGAATCATTTTAGTTGTTCCAAAATTATTAATAAATTTAGTATAAACTTCAGTATAAACTTCATTTTTTGTACTTTTTTTTTATACAAAACAGAAAATAAAGCTACGTTAATATTGATTGAAGTTTAAACTAAAAGCAATCTTGTTAATAATATTTGGACACAATTTAAAGTACAACTTAAACAAATAGTTACAGCAATTAAGGTTAATGTCTATTAAAAATTTCTTTTAAGATACCATGTGCCGAGTACTACAATAAAATGGCTGATTGGGGGTACCAGGGAAAACAGCCAAATTACTGGGTTCCCAGGTCCAAACCGGGTACCCTTGCATATCACTAATATATATATATATATATATATATATATATATATATATATATATATATATATATATATATATATATATATATATATATATATATATATATATATATATATATGTATATATATATATATATATATATATATATATATTGCATATACTTATACATATATGCATATACTTATATACATGGACATCCGCAACATAGGTTAAGGAGGGTCACTTGGCCCACACTGGATATTCTTAATAAAAATAATAAATTTTGTTTTTTTGTTATTTGGCTACATAAAACAACTGTCTACACATCTGAATTACTAAAAATCTATAATTTTTATTTACATTTTTATAACTGATGGCTGAGGATTTAGTTCACTAGTCTACAATGACTTCTTTTCTCAATATTTTTGCAACAAACAAAAGTTTTTTTTTTCCATAATTTTGGGTGACAATTCAATACAATTAATAATCAAACAGCATACAAATCCATCAAAGGAAAACTTTTGTACCTAATTAAAACCGAATTAATGGAATTCGATGGCATTCACTCCAAGTTAAGTACTGCTTGGTAGGCTTTATTATCCTACTCAGCACTATATTCTCCAAATTGCTTGAGACTGGTGAAGTGCCATATCAACAAAAAAAAGCTGATATCACCCCTACCCTCAAGAAAGGCTGCAAGTTGATCCATCAAACTACCAACTAATATGTTTTGATTGGTTCTCTCGCAACTCATTCAATGTGGGTACCAGAGTGCATTATCTCACCATTTACCAAATACAATAATTTTCTGAAAAATCTTTGAAATCATTTAGCATGTATATAGCATAATAATGAGCAGCAGGATGCTACATCTTTCTTAACATTCATAAAAATTCAAAACAAATACATCTCAGTTTAAATAATTTAAAGAATCAATAGAAGCTTCTGCCAATTTTATTATTCATAATCTTTTGTGGCCCACACAAAATTGCTCTTTGAGGATATAATCATATAAAAAATGTCAATGATCTGTTTCAATTTGGACTGGAAGTTGATAACAAAGATATATAAATATATGTATAGACTTCGGATAAAAATGCATGTTGAATCAGATAGGATCCATTATAGATATTTGTCAGGAGTTAATACAGACACAAATTGTTGAATCATAAAATAGACCTTATAGGTTTTTTAATCTTATTAGAAGAAACATCTGATATATTGGGAGCAAAATTTATGCTTTTTGGTACATTTTGTAGGAGGTTTTGGTGGTAAATTTAAATTCCGTGAAGAATTTGAATTTACCACCAAAAGATACTAATTTGAATTACTGCAATCAATACAGACTGAGGATATAACAAAATTACTCCCAAAGTCTGAAGTTTTTTAGCCATGGTTGGTAAGAAAGGCAGGGTTCAGGGTAAAGTACTTAAATTTTTTCCTATGTGCATTGTCATTAATGATCTCATTTCAGTTATACAAGATCGTAAAGCCATTATTATAATCAAGGCTATCATCAGTTTTTCTGAAAAGCACAAATCAGAGGTCATTAATTCCTGATGTGCAATTGTTTTTTGAAAAGCAAAGGTCCACAAAGTATAAAAGCATAAGTATTTTTGGTAAAAATTTTGAGGAAATTTGCAATCAATTACAAAATTTGATAACTGACAATAGTAAAACTAATCATCACGATAGTTAACCTTTTCCATAAATATTGACAGAATGTCAAAATTCATTTCAAACAAGATTATATATTTACTAATATAATCGCTCTCACATATACATAACTCACATATGTAGTCAATAAACATTGATAAAAAAAAACCCTTTGTCTATGCAGACAGCAAGCATTTTGAAGCAATCCTGATAGATCAAGCGAAAAAAAACACAGAGCTAAAATTGAGAAGACTACTTTAGAGCTAAAACAGGAAGACTACCATCATATCATCTTTAATAAATGATTTTTTTTTTAATATAAGTCATCATTCCAGCCTGCAATCTTGGCACATCTTCATTCTGCGGAATTCGGAAGCAAGTCATGTGTACAGTATTAATAATTTCAATCTTGAAGCAATGAATTGAATTTATTTTTGGTGCACAAATGAACAATAACAAGGAATCAAGGAGGATATGAAATATTATCAATTTGTAGTCGAGAACAGATTTTTACCCAACTGTTCTTCACGCTTTACTTATTACACTGACTCTACTCGGCAAAAACCATAGCTGTCTTTAACCAAATTATATGCAGAAATTTATTGATATTTTTTGTGGGATACACACCAACAATTGTTTTTTTTCAAAGATTTTTAAGAATATTTTTACTTTTACAGCTCTGCAACCAGCTGTTATTCTGTTAATAGCACTGCATTTAAAACTCTTTATAACTGTTAGAATTTAATAGTTATGTGAAATATCAAACAAACGTCATTATACTAAAGTAGACTAACTTTATTTATTTCAAGTTTTGAAAAAAATAAATTTAAAGTTTTATAAACTTAAGTATTTAAATAAAGTATAAAATTCCTTTAACAAAAATTGAAAATAAATAAAAAAAAATTAAAATTAAAACTGAATTCATTTTTTTAGTTTTCAGTTAGATTTCCAATTAGTTATTAAAATACATTTTAAAGAACAAAGTTTATAAATAAAACTTACAATTATCTGCATCTTCATCATCTCCATCATCCTGAACATCACTCTCATTATTTAACTCAACAACCATCTTTGTAAGTGTATATTATCAAAAATTAACTCTTTTGAAATTATATTTAAAAAGGAATAATTTAAGTTGTTAAATTTAATAACATAAAATATGTATTATTAATTATAAACTAATATAAATAGTTAAATTAGTTTTTAAAAAATGAATAAATTTTAAAAAAATAATAAAAAACACAGACCAGATGTCATTATGCAAGTATTAAGCAAAAAAGGATTTTGTCAAGGTATAAGAATCTTAGCTCTTAAAAGATTATGCTGCAATTGTTTTTCTCTGTTAACACAACTTCATATTTAAAATTCTTTAACCTAATATTACAAGTTGCAGTTACACTAATTATACTTTATAGATAAAAGCATTATAAAGCCTAATCTTCATATGACTTAATCTTCATAAAAGCTTCATATACTTTTATCTTTAAATTGCTAAAGCTCAACATAAAATATCTTTTTATCATTGCAAGAATAAATGCAAAAAAATCATTGTAACAATCAGTGCAATAAGGTCAAAGTAATAATGCTCATTATATCTCAGGTAACTAAAGTGTTAATAAATGTGATCTGTAAAATGATTATAAGTTAATTCCTATTTTATTATAGATATTTATATTTATTAAAGGCTTATGAAAATTTTTATAAAAAATGCCATTAACTAAGACAAGTATCTCATGCATAGGCATTCTAATTTTCTTGGAGGAGATAATTATTACTAATTATTTCTCCTTAGTATAAAGACTGAATTTTTTTTGCAAAAAACATTTTGTAAATTCCAATGATTACAATTTTCTTGGCACGCCAAACAAACAGATTAACTTATAATCATTTTACAGATCACATTTATTAACACTTTAAAGGCTTTTAAAATGCCAAAGCATTGCTGTTTCATTGGCTAAACAAGCCAATCCAAATAATTGTCTATATGAAAAAAGTTAGTTTCAAACTTTTGATCTAAAAATTAATGACAATTAGATTAATATGTTGTTGTAGTTTATGGCATTTATTTTTACAGATCAATCATGGTATATGTTGTTATTTTTCATAGTATATGTTGTTACAGTTCATGTTACTATGAAAAAATTTAACACCTTTAAATAAAACAGTTACTTTTTAGTTATTACTAATTCTTTTTTTTTTACATTTTGATCTATGAAATAAGACAATTCTTGAGTATTAATACTGAACTGTTGCCTTGTTTCATAGTATCAAAATGTAAAAAATATAATATGGAGTTGATGTAACTACAGTAAAATCCATTGGATAAAGCATGTAACATAAATTTGGATAAAGCATGAAACGTCGGATGAAACGGTGACAAAGCCAACGACTGAAGAAGTTCGTAAAGCAATTGATAGTGGTGAAATTGGAAGAGTAGATTTGAATCATAGCTGTTTGAAAAAGAATGGTGCGAGTCACTGAAACAAACATCAATTTTGGGGTTTTTTTTGTTTATAGTATATATTATATATACAAAAATATATATTTCACATAAGATTATATTGTTCTATATAAATGTACATAATTTTTATATCTCTTAATATTGTATATTTAAGTCTCAAAATCTCCATAAGTCGGACATTTTTAAAAAGTCAGACTTATCGACAGCTTTGCTTAATTCGGACATTCGCTAAGCCGGACAATAAATATACCAGTAAGCACAGAACGTTTTTAAAACGTTTAAAAAACTTATTAAAGCAAATGTTTTTTAAACGAACTTAAAAAGTCCGACTTAACGAGAAAACTTAAAAAGTCCGACTTAACGAGAGCTTTGCTTAATTCGGACATTTACTGAGTCGGACAATAAATATCCCAGTAAGCACAGAACGTTTTAAAACGTTTAAAAAACTTATTAAAACGAACGTTTTTTAAACGTTTTAAAAACAATCTGTGCTTACTGGGATATACCCCTTCGGAGTCCGAGTTAACGGGATTCTACTGTATATTTAAAACAGATGCTTACCCATCATTTTTTGATATAATTTATGAACTATCAAGTAAATCACCACAAATACAAAAACCTGAATTGTTGTTAGAATTTAATAACCAAGTTAAGGAAACTTTCAAACAAAAAATTCAAATGCCGAAATTGTTAGGCTTGATGAATGAACTAGTTATATGGACAATTAGTCTAGAAGGATTATTTGGCATAATTATATACATAATTATATCTGCATTTGCAAGTTTGATGGTACAGGTACATCACTTTATTATTCAAAGTTTACAAAAACTTGTTAATTTATTTGTTAATTATTTGATGACTGGCAATTTTGGTGGTTTAAATACTAAGCAATAAACCAGCCAATACATAAATCAATGGTTATACTTTATTTTTGACTGTGCGCATCTTTTGAAATATATGGGGAAAAGTTTGGGAGCGTTTGGCCGCGGGCCACACTACCGCATAGTAGGCCAGAATTTTTTTTCCGTGGCCAAAAGTCCCAAAAAAGTCAAGTCTTCTAATTTTATTATTGAAACAAAGGTCCTTAACTCTACTCAAAAATGTATCCGTTTAATTACTAGATATAAAGGCAAGCTTGCTAGAACCATAATGGCTTTAAAAATGTCCGATTTTCGCAACATATACATTTATATATACATATTTTTTTTAATTTTATTCAACACATCGAACCGTTGCTATTTAAAATAATTTTTTCTTAATTATTTTAATGTTTTTAAAAAAGGAAAAAAAGAAGAAAATCAATATACTATAAATACATAAAAATCAAATATTTAAGTATTCGATTCCAACCAAATGCCATTATTTTAAAATTGGTGTTAATGATATTTAGGAAGCATAAAGGTTGTTTAATACTATTAAATAAAATCAGCTGCGACTAGCTGTAATTTAGACTTTAAATTGATTTTAAAATATCAAAATTTTAGACTAATTTAATTCTTACTTTACAATGCATTGTGAAGTTAAAAAATTTATTTGTCTGGAAATTTGAAGTTTATATGATATTGAAGAATAATTAGTTGATAATTGCAGCGATTTGATTAAAATATTTGCTTACAACACACTCGTAAGTTTGATCGAAAAGTTACAATAACGGACTAAATCAATTATTAAATGATTTTGAGTGACCCAATTTTTTCATCTCTTTCATCAAATTTCTGGCCCACTGTGTACCGTTTTAATTATTTCCCAACGAGCTTACTTTGGCAATCGGGCTATTTGAAAAGTATGAACGGTTAGCACAGATACTAATAATGCTAACCTACCTGACCCTAGAACGCAAGTTATATAAGGTGATAGCGTTAGGACCGTCCAGAGGGCAATTTATTCGAGCTAATTACTCGGTGCCACGGCCCCAGGGAAGCCCCCACCAGTGCAGCCGTTGAGTCGTTTGAGCAGCCGTGACGCAGTGGTAGCGCACTTGCCTCAGAAACAAAGGATCCGTGGTTCAATCCCCACCTGGGCGAGTTTTGCAACATCGGTTCGGAAGGAGGCGTGAACTTCCTATTAAATGCAAATCTGCGGTGCTCTGTGATAAGACCGTAATGACTTCTTGGGGCACCTAAATAAAAGTTTAAAAAAAATGTGGTTGACCGCAGAAATGAAAAAAACTTTCAGCTTTTTATTTCCAACCCATTTCTTCGTCCTTATGCCTCTAAGCAAAACAATTACAACTTTGCAAACCCATATACCGTACAAAATGTCAACTGCTGCCAATGGTCTGGAAAAGTTATAGTTTAAATCTTGTTTCTATATTCTCTTTTTTCTGGGAATATCAAAAACTGTATTTTATTTTTATTTTTTTTTATTTATTTGAGTTTTCATGCTATATTTTTCTATACAATGTTCTTATATCCGAAGATATTGTTGGCTTAGCATAGGAACAGCCACAAATAGTCATTAAGACTAATCCAAAGTAGCGTCCGTTATTGACCAACATTTTTGCGTACCGAAGTACTACTCAAGCGCTGAGTTGGCGGTGGCGGGATTTGAACTCTTATCGTTCAACAGTCCGGGTTTTAACTTTTCCTTTGACACTCTAACCCATTTTTCATTTGCCCCGTTTCACTTGTCAAACAAAATTTCTGAAATGAAGCTTGGGAACTTTTCAGAAATGCAGTGATTGTACTGCGTATTTTTGCTTCGATTTCAGTTACAGTGGCCTCAAGTGAGCTTTCATTCAGTAAATTGAAGCACATCAAGAATTTTTTTACACTCAACTATGGGACAAGAACAAACCAGTGATCTTGTCATTTTGAGTATTGAGCACGAAATCTTGTTTTTCATGATGTAACTGAAAAGTTTACAAAAAAAAAAAGACAAAAAATATTATTGTAAGAAACAAAAGCTAGTAGCGTATCTCTAATTAGGCTGAATAGACTGAAGTCTAGGGCCTCCAAGATAAAAGAGCCCCCAATGAGAAAGAGTCCTAAAGCGCTAAACTACAAACTAATGTCCGCCTGCGCTGCGCTAAAAAGTAAGAAAGTATTTCAAATTAACCACCACTGAAAATATTTTAGACAAAATGTACTTTATAAATAACTACAAGCATTGCAAATCGGGTGCAAATCGGATGTGTAAAAAATAAGACTATAAGAGTTAGTTGATTTTGTATTATTTTATTTGTTATTATATTTTGTATTATTATTCGGAAATATATATTATATAAATGCTAAAATTCACTTTTACACAATCTAAACACATCCATATTTTTTGAAAACAAATTTTTTGTTGAATTTCTTTAAAAATTTATTTGGAAGGTTTAGCGCTTATAAATATAATTAAAAATTTCCGCATAGAAATATTTAAATGGTAGTCAAAAACTAAAATAAAAGAACAAAAGATTAACCCATTATTAACATTTCCAAAATTAGCCTTTTACATGCTTTTTACAACCAAAGGCCGTCAAAGTAGGTAAATCATTTAAAGAATTGACATGTTCCGAAAAACTAAATGTAGCTGATGATGTAAAACTAATTGAAGTACATACTGTTGAGGCCAACGGAAATACCGAATGCCAATCCGAAAAGCTTGTTCAGAGCAGATACAAGGGCTGCATGCAAGAAGAGATGTAAAATTGTCTAAAATTACTGATATTATTGACGTGAGAGTAAATTATA